TGGGATGGTCCCCCCACGTGCAAACCTGTCCCAGCCCTTCATGCTGTCATCTCCTCAACTCAGCATGGTGCACTGCTGGAACTACACGCGAGGGTCACTGCCATCACCTACAATTTCAGTCCCCAAAACGCAAAAGTATTATACACGTAGTCAGGAACTAAAACGGAGCAACAGAGCGTACGTTTCATATTAGGGAAGCAAATACTCATTCTTGAAAGAATGACAACAACAATCAAGGGCCTTAAAGGAAAAAAGAGAAGGAAGATCCCCATAGGTAAAGCTGTGTCAGGTTCTGTTACTTAAACACAATCAGAAGGACTGCCTATCTCTCACCAAGTGATGCCCACTGAGGGCAGGAGAAGCTGCCAAATCACCAGGAAGAGATGAAAGACGGTTTGAAACCATGAAGGACCGGGGTACAATTCGCTCATACACAGGACTCTCTGACGGTGCTTAGGACACCAAGTTTAATTACTTTGAAACAAAGGAAAAGAAGAATACTGTTAAATGAACCTCCACTTATATATCTTTGTGCCTTGTCAAAACCGTTTCTCAGAAAGCTTTTCTGCTAGTTTATTAACCTTTTCTTGACAAAAGATAAAGGGAGATCTCTGGCATACTTCTTTCTATTCAAAAGCACATCATAATCATTCAAGTATACTGCTTTAAATTTAACATTCAGAAACAAGGTTTTTTAGAAGTATGGTAGGAAGAACATGAGAGCGCGTAAGGGCTGAGGCTTACTCAGCGCTCTCTTCTCATTGTACTTTCTACACATACCCAGCAGGCAGAAGAAATTCATTCCACTGCATGGCTCAGCATGATTCACAATTTGCAGGCTAGCATTTTGAAATGTCATTTTTATTGATCTCTGTTTGATGTTCCATTTGCCTTTCCTGGAGTAGACGAATTATGTTTATGGCATTTCCCTAATAGCAGACCTTGAAAATCTGAGTTTAAATGAGCTCTGAAAAAACATAACCAAATGAAATATCAACTAAACAAAACTATATGGATGCACATAAATTAATGCTTATTTTAGCATTAAAATATATCTTCTCTAAGACTTCATAGGTCACAATAAGGTGCCAACATACTACATAATAGAATGACATTTCAGGGCGTTAAGAGGCAGCTAAAAACTATCAGGAAGTCAAATCTCAGACACAAGATGTAAATCTGTCAACTGAACACATGAAATATAAAGCATGGTTCAAAGAGTGAGATTAAAAAAAAGAGTATCAAATCCTGTTCTGTAGCGCACCCAGACATCTGCGGAGCACTGCCAGCTCCATAATAAAAATCAAGTAACGCGGGCCAATTTATCTTACTAGCTACCACAGTTCCTTTCTAACAATTTGGAGAAGAAATTATCAATGAAAAGCTATTGTGACTTCAAGAGCGACAGATGAAGGTTTGCATTATAGAACAAGAATCATGTTTAAATGCATTTTGATACTTTCAAATGGACTACGGATTTCATAAGATGATTTATGACTGAGTTGTAGAAAGTTACCTTCGAAAACGGTTACAATCTCAAGTAATAGTACATCATCCTTAGGTTCACTTACACACAATGATAAACGGCTAGTCTCAATTTTCTCATCTAAGAGAAGTTAATAACATAGAGTAAGTTAGTAAACTTTTGATTTTAAAAAGCTGCAAGTTTAAATTTTTAGAGGAAAGCCTGCTTTCAAATGTCTTACTCCACAGAAGGCCCCTACACAAGCATGACAGCATCAATCCCAAAGTGAGGCAGCGAAATCAATGATACATTTCAAAAAGCTTCAACCTCTCCCCACCCTTCAAAACCTGTTCAAGTCCTTAAACTGTATTGATCGGCGATGGCATGAGGTAGCTGCGTCATTGCTGACTTTCCAGAGCACTCAGTTTTTCCTATCAATATTTTCTACATTTAGCACACTCTTCTTAGCATTGCATTATCTTTGCATATCTCAACTCCACTACCAGCATTTTAAGTTCTTTTTGAGCCCTCAATAAGGAATGAATACATGGATGGAAGGAAAGAAGGAAGGAAGCAAGTAAGCAAGCAAGCTTGGGCAACAAAATCCAAGGTTATGGGTTACAGATGATTTAAAATGTTGAGAATTATTTTATTAAGACCTGCTCTCAAGAATCAGCACTAGATTACAGATGAAAAGTATGACCTCCAAGAAATGACCTTTTGAAAATTCCTTAATACTTCACATTTTAGCCAGTGTTTTTATTTTCTAATTAACATGAAATATGAATTTCCAAAATTATTATCAAAAAACACACCCTGGCAGTACAAAGACAGAACAGTGGTTTAGCTCCAGACTAAAATTTTATTACACAAGGAAACAAGATCACCTAGATTTTCTTATAGAGTTTAACTGAATTACCAATATCCTTGGTAACATAACATAAAAAAAGGCTTGGGTGCCTGGGTGGCTCAGATGGTTCAGCGTCTGCCTTCGGCTCAGGTCATGATCCCAGGGTCCTGGGATCGAGTCCCGCATCAGGCTCCCTGCTCCTTGGGAGCCTGCTTCTCCCTCTGCCTCTCTCTCTCTCTTTCTCATGAATAAATAAATAAAACCTTTAAAAAAAAAACAACATAAAAAAAGGCTTATCAGATAAAATCCATAAGGCAAAGTACAAGAGACTATGTATACATTATGGCTACGATCTTGTAAAACAAACTTTGGCACAGGTAAAAAAAAAAAAAGGCCAGGAGAAAATACTACAAAATGAACAAGATGATGGGTTCAAAGGGAGAAACAATGGGTGATGTTTTTCTACTTTCTACTTTGTGCAACTTTGATTATTCTATTTTATGTCATTATGATAATCTCATTTATCTCTATATAACTCACGTTTTATCTTCTTAAATCTCCTTAAATCATTACACATATGTTAATTACGACCTGCTTTTATGTTTAAAAACAACATTTTAAAATCAGAGGCATAAGTCGGAGTCACTGCTAAGTCATTCTAATAGTGAGAGCTTAATGAAGTCACTCAACTTCACCAGGTCTTAATTTTCCCATCTAAGTGAACCACCTTAGCAAGATTACATAATTCTCCTGTCAAACACAGCACACTAGCCAGCTCACAGTAGTGCTCAATTTACATTAAGTCCCTTGTAAATATTTTTTGTTGTTGATTGAATTTCCATGTAGTAAGTAGTTATCACTGATTAAGTACTTTGGTTAGGAGTGATCAAGTTATCTTAAGAAACAGCCTCCTCCATCAAAAGACTTCATAATGTAACAAGTTCAAGAAAGGTATTTTTAAGAGAGCCCAGTTCTCCTTTCCACTTAACATAGATAAGACCTCAGAATCCTTCTGAACATAGCAGCCCAGGTAACTAAAGGAGTTGCCTTGAGAGTAAAAACCTATTTGTTACCAGCAACCCAGACCAGGGCCTTCTTAAGGAGCTTCTCCCAGCATTTACGAACAAGGCCTACGACACAGGAGAAGGTGGCTTTTCACAGGTCTCCAAAGAATTAAATCTAGGATTCAATTCCAGTCACCCAATAAAGCATTTCAACAATGAAGCTTTTTTAAAAAGAGATGTTCACAACTTCCAAAAATGTTTTAGTTCTTTTAGTATTTCAAAAAAGAAACATGGTAAATCTTCCTAACAGTGGATATGACAATGGATTCCTAGCTATATCATCAAAAGCAAAGAAAACAAAAGCAAAAATCTGATAAATTGGACTTCATCAAATTTAAAAACTCTGGTGCATCAAAGGACATCATCAAGAAAGTGAAAAGGCGATCTACAGAATAGGAGAGTTTGTACAAATCACGTATCTGTTAAGGGCATAACATCCCTTAACATATAAAGAAGTCCCACTATTCATCAACAAAAATTACAATCCTATTAAAAATGAACAAAGGGGGATGCCTGGGTGGCTCAGTCAGTTAAACGTCTGCCTTTGGCTCGGGTCGTGATCCCAGGGTCCTGGGATCGAGTCCTGCTTCTCCCTCTGCCTGCTGCTCCCCCTGCTTGTGCTCTCTCACTCTCTATCTCAAATAATGTAAAATCTTAAAAAAAAAAAAAAAAATGAACAAAGGACTTGAATAGACATTTCTCCAAAGAAGATACATAAATGGCCAATAAGCACATGAATATAATCAACATCATTACTCATTAGAGACCCAAAATTCAACACCACAATGACACAACACTTCACAACTACTAAGACAACCAAAAAAACAGAAAATAATAAGTGTTGACAAGGATGTGGAAAAAGTGGAACCCTCGTACACTGCTGGTGGGAAATGTAAAATGGTGTAGCCACTGTGGAAAAGAGTTTGGTGGTTCCCTGAAAAACTACACACAGAATTATGATATGATCCAATAATTCCACTCCTAGGTATATACACAAAAGAAATGAAAACAGAGACTCAAACAGATATTTGTATGCCAATGTTCACTGGAGCATTATTCACAACAACCAAAAGAGGAAAACAACCCAAGTGTTCACTGATAGATGAACAGATCAACAAGATGGGTGTGTGTGTATAACGGAATATTATTCAGCCATAAGACGAAGGAGGTTCTGACACATACTACAACATGGATGAACCCTGAAAACATGGTAAGTAAAATAAGCCAGGCATAAAAAGACAAATATATGATTCCACTTACATGAGGTAGCTAGAATAGTCAAATCCATGGAGTATAATAGAGGTTACCAGGATTTGGGAAGAATTGGAATGGGGAGTCACTGCTTAATAGTAACAGAGTTTCTCTTTGGGGTGATGAAAAGGTTTTGGAAATAGGTAATGGTAGAAATTGCACAACACTGTGGATATAATTAACGCCACTGAACTGTATACTTAATATTAAAATGGCAAATTTTATGTTACATATATTTTACCACAATAAATTTTTTTATTTTATTTTATTATTTTTTAAATAAATTTTTTTAAATGAAAGTAAGTGCAAAGGCACAGGGAAAAACAAAACAAAACAAAAATAATAAATAAAAATGACAACACATCAGCACCTTTCCACACACTGCGTTCGGGACAGAGGAGGCTGACATTTTCGGTTATGAGCTTCTCGGGCAGCAAGTCTAGCTCCTGACAACTGAAAAGGAATAAAAGCACCATTTAATAAACTATCAAACTTGCTATCATCCTAGAAAAACTGGTATCACATTCTGACATCAAGAAGCCAATTAAAGCAGCTCAATGTTGTAAACAAGCATCTGTTTCAGGGGAAAACAAAAACAAAACACATTAAACTGGGAAAGTTCTAGAGTAGTATGAAGCAATACCTAACATATTAAAGCACTGAGAGATTATCTTACACATGGTGATTTTAACAGGTGTGCAGAAGAGTTGTAAACAAGACGGTTTTCTAATAAACCTAACAAAGCTGAAATTTTTCAAGACAAAACTTTCAGAAACTTGAACTGGAGCTGAGTCCTAGAGGATACCAAGCTCATAACTATATCTCTAAGTGCCTTCTTCGGTTATACAGTAGCTGTAATGGATGCTCAATGCAAATGTTTAAAAAAAAATGTTTTTCTAAAACACTGCCTGGAATGATCACAACCTAAACTCTTTAGGGAGAAATTTGTATTTGCAAATAAAAGATCAGCCACCCAGTACTGACACCTCAGAGTCTTAAAAGGGAACGGTCTTTGAGACAGTCGTTTACAACATCAGCACTCAGAGTAAGTTTAGAGTAAGTAAAAACTCCAGTCTGTCGAATCAAAAAGCATAGTATCTTCATCTATCTGAAGAGATTTACGTCATTTAATGCTCAAGTTGCATGTTTTTATTGGTTTAGACATTCTCAAATTGTCACATACATCAAAAATTTTTTAAAATGTCTAAAAAGTTGATATACCTTTTCATCTTCCCACTGAAAAAAATTACAGTCTTTTCTATCTCTACAGGCTGAGCAGGCATAAAATCTCCGTGTTTCTTCTTTCCCTTGGTTCACCTTTACAAACAGAAGAGTAGGTCCTAGTTCCAGAATGGGGAAAAAAACATGTCAAACAATAGTCATCTATATCGAGTTCCTAGTTTTCACTGCCCTTAAATAAAATTTGATTTGGTTTTATGCACAATTTGTCATAATTAAGCCCACTGTTTACTTTTTTTCCCCCTATCACATTTAGGCACTGATTACTTGAGGCATAACTCTTGAAAACTAGTCTCTGCAGAAAGAAAATGCCATTGTCAGTTGCTGTCTACACGGTGAATGATCTGGGTCCTGAGACGAAAAATATGGAAGGGATCCAGAGAACGGAGCACTTTGCCACCTCCACCCAGTTATCCTTTCAGTGAAAATCTGAGCTTTTGGAGTCGGATGTGGGCACATCCTCTCTCCACAAATTAAGAGAAAAACTGGGTCTGGTTTCCGAGCGATAATTCATGCTATCCTTCCTCCTAACTTTTTAAAATAAAAAGACAGCAAAACAACCAATGAAATCCCCAAGTACTTGGCAATGGATTTACTAACATGCATCCCCTTCGCCTAGACTCTGCCTCTTCCCTTGAGAGGGAAAAAAAAAAAAAATGTTCACAGCCACGGAGCAAAAACCACCACAGTGAGGACTTTCTATGACAGTTTCTTAAGTAAACTGAAAACACTACGTCCCCAGGAAAGGGCGTTTTTTGGCATCACACATGGTGAAACCGAGGAAGATACAAATCTGGAAGCCCTAAGAAGCCCAAGGCACCTTCAGGCTAACCTCCGCCCTTCGCGCCCGACAGCTCGGCTGAGCCCAGACGCACACCCACCGTGAGGACACAGCGGGGCGGGTGTGGCGGGATCGGAAGGAAATACCGCCTCCACTCCTGAGCTCGCCTGGCGCCCCGCGATCCCCTCAGCCTCCACTGTTGCCAGCCCATCCCTGGGGGCCGCCATCTTCCCGCCACCGTCCCGAAAGCCTCAGTCCATACCGAGGAGGCTGAGAAAGAGTGCCGCCGCGCCGCGCGAGGACTCACAGCGCCCCCGCGCGCCTAGGAGGAACTGAGCCCCGAAAAGCAGTCCCTTCTGCCCTGGCTGCGACTATGGGATCCCTGGCGGGCGGGCAGGGGTAGGGGTTTTGGTAGTAGGGGCCGGGGGTGGGGGTGTTTGCAGGCAATTTACTGGATCTGTGCAATAAGCTCACCTATTTTCTGCTTTACCCTCAGCACCTCAAGTACCTTCCTCTCATAAGAATACAGCCAGAAGATGAGATGACTCTTTGGAGCAAAGATTTGGTAGGGTTTTAAGACCAAAAGGCAGCATCACCACCACCAGCACCTGACAACAGAGATGGCTGCAGCAACCGCGTTTGAGGAAAACATCCTCTTCTTTTTTTTCCCAAAGTCAGAGTCACACTGTTCTCTTCTACCTCTTGGGCCACGCTACCCGTTGCACGTTATAGTTGCATATTCATCAACATTTATACATCAGAGAGAGAGAGAAATAAAACTCCCTCTTTGCATATGACATGATTGTCTCCTTAGAAAATGCTAAGGAATCTGCAAAAAGAATTCCAGCTGAAATTGAGTTCAGCAAGGTTGCAAGGGTAAACAAACATACAAAACTCAATCATACTTCCATGTACTAGGAATGATGCAATGAACACCGAAACTAGAAATAAAACACCACTTACAACTGCTCAGATAAATGAAATACTTAGGTGTAAATCTAACAAAATATGTACAGGACTTGTATGCAGAACACAATAAAATGTTAATGAAAAATTAACAAAATGTTAATGAAAAAAATCAACGATCTAAATAAATGTAGAGACTGTGTTACTACATTAAGAATACTCAACATAGTGAAGATGTCAGTTCTCCGCAGGTTTAGTGCATGTACAAGTTTAATACAATTTCAGGGGTGCCTGTGGCTCAGTTGGTTAAGCCTCTGCCTTCAGCTCAGGTCATGCATGATCCTGGGGTCCTGGAATGGAGCCCCACATTGGGCTCCCTGCTCGGTGGGAAGTCTGCTTCTCCCTCTCCCTCTGTGATCGCTCTTACTCTTGCTCTCTTTCAAATAAATAAAATCTTTAAAAAAAAAATTCTTGTAGGTACAGATTTGTGATCATTGAAAGACTTCTTTACAAAATTTGTAGTTGAGTTCATGAAATCACACCACCAAAAATAGTCACTGAATCTATATTTTCTGAATCTTTCTTAAATAACTCTGATTCTGTGGGGTGACCTATAGAAGCAGGCCAAACCAGTATGGATTTGCAGGCTTTACAGGTAACCTTCCCCAAACAGTAAAAGTACGACAAGGGTTGACCCAAATAAGGCAAATGAGAGAGTACCACTTAGTGTGAAAGAATGTGAAGGTTTCAAAAATGAGGCAGTTCCCTCTTTTCTGGGGCATAATTTTGGTAAGAAAAAAAACCAAACACCACCTCACCTTATATTCAGACATATATGGTAAAAGTCATGTACTCTGAATATCTGCTGAGAGGGGCATAAATAGGAGCTCACAAGAGTAAGTTGGGAATGTTTCTTTTTATTGTCTACTTGTACACGAAAATCCTTGAGCAGAGGATAGCTGAGGGACATCAGCAGGAGGTTCAAAGGAAACCAGTGGCAGAGCTGGAAATGGGTCCCTGAGGAGCGCAGAGACATACCCTGGGTACACGCCGTCTCACAGAGCAAAATCTCTGAAGCCGCTAAAATGAGCTCGGATTCAGCGACTCCCCCCTGGAGGATGTGGACAAACCCCTGAGCTTCCCACAGAGACCAGGAAGACTCACTCCTTACTTGGTAAGTGGGGTAGAAGCACTCCCAACTCCAAAGCTACTGCAGAGAAAATGGTTCAAGCCCAAGGAGTATTTGGCAAGTAACAGCTGAGCGACTTCTCTGTATTCTGTAACTGACCCCCAGTTTCCCTTTGGAAATCCAACCCTCCCCAATTTTAGCCCATGTAGTGGGAGAAATACAAAGGGCCAGAGGGGCTGGCTTGGGTTTGGGCAGATGACTGGGGGCCTCTGCTGGAATGGTTGGGAAGGAAACTACAATAGTTAAATTTTGTCATCTTAGTGGCATCTGTCATGTTGATTGGTCACGTGTTACACAGGTTCAGCCTTCCCATCTTGGCTGGGCCAGGTGACTGGCTTGTCTAGGGTTGCCTTGGCAGGGGTAATTCATCTCTGCCTGATGTGTCTCTCATCCCCCTCCTGGAACCGGTGGGCCAGCCTGGAAACGTCTTTCTCATGGGAATGGCCAGAGCACAAGAGTTAAGAGGAAGGGGGGCGCCTGGGTGGCTCAGTTGGTTAAGCGATGGCCTTTGGCCCAGGTCATGATCCCAGGGTCCTGGGATCGAGCCCTGCATTGGGCTCCCTGCTCGGCGGGAAGCCTACTTCTCCCTCTCCCACACCCCCCGCTTGTGTTCCCTCTCTCTCTGTCTCTCTCTCTCTGTCAATTAAATAAATAAAATCTTAAAAAAAAAAAAAAAAGAGTTAAGAGAAAGGGACAAGCATCAGGAGGCCTAGGCTTGGAGCTCCCCCATCACTTCCGTCATATGCTTTTGGGTCAGGCGAGTCACGTGGCCAAGCGCTGCAAGCCTGGCAAAGGGCGTGGGTCAGAAGGGGGTGAAGAGGTGGAGCCAGTGGTACAATCCCTCCCTGAAGCACCTTTCACTGAAGCAACCACGTGGCTGTTGTCTTTATGGTAGTTATGGTTGTTGTGGTTTCCCACCACTTAAGGGGCACCTGCCTTGGCAGAAAGGCCAGAGCAGAACTAGGAAATAAGAATGTGTGAGGATGCCATGTGAGCACCTAGATCCAGCCATGCCTGAAATTTTCACTTATATGGGTCATAAATTCCTCTGTCTCCTTAAGCCAGTTTGAGATGGGGCTGGTTCTATCAATCACCACCCAAGAATGCCAACTCTATGGCTCTATGGCTGTAGCCATTATATGGGATGGATGTATCTGTGTATTAATATGCCTCAAGACCCTTTGCCAGTCAAGACCAGCCAACCCTGCTCTCCATTCTCCCTGCCACACCCCCTGTCAGTCTGCCTACCCCCCTCCGCAGCTATCTTTTCTGGCCCTTGTCATGGAACCCTGTCTCCCCACCTGCCCTTCTTCTTGCTGCCCCAAAGCAAGTACACAGACCTATTTTATTATTATTATTATTAAAGTTCTACACCAATTCACGAACCTGATATCAAGAGTCGCATGCTCTACAGACTGAGCCAGCCAGGCACCCCACAGACCTATCTCTTTTTAAAGGGAAAACTGTCGGGGGAGACCATCAGAAACAAAGGAAATCTACAAAGACTTCACCGTGGCTGTCTCTGCTCTCTGGTTATGGATCCTAACTTCCCTGCTCACAGGGTCATTGCTATGGATTGAATTGTGTCCCCCCCACCCCAAACCCCGCCAAACTCATATGTTGAAACTCTAACCACCAATGTTATGGTGTGAGGTCTTTGAAATATAATTAGGTTTAGATGAAGTCATGAGGGTGAGCCCCCAAATAGGAGTGATGCCCTTTATAAGAAGAGGATGAGACACCAGAGTTTGCTCGCCCTCCATACCTCTCCCCCTCCCTTTTCTTCCCTCCCTCTCTCTTTCTCTCTCTGGCTCTCTCTCTCTCTCTCTCTCTCTCTCTCTCTCTCTCCCCCTGCCCTGTGAGAACACAGGAAGAAGCAGACCACCCACAGGCCAGGAAGCAGGCTCTCAGCAGGGACTGAATCTACCAGCACCTTGATCTTGGGCTTCTCAGCCTCTAGAACTATGAGAAATAACTTTTTGCTGCTTAAGCCACGGGTCTGTGGTGCTGTTGTGGCAACCCCTTGACCAAGAGAGTCATGCATCCCCTTGACTTTCCCTCTCTGCTTTTATTTCTGAGGGAAAATCTCACCAAACCTCTCCCCACCCCTGGAAAGCATGAACTCTGACAACCTGGTTGGGGAAGGTCTTCGATCCAAAGGGACTTCATGCGGTTTTCCTCAGATCTCTGAGAAACAGCAAGGACACCAAACACCCTGAAAGTAAGAACACTTGGATAAGCTACTGAGCCTCGCTAGTCATTTCTGATGTGCCGGGCTTGGCCAGCATCCTGGGGCCAGACAGACAGGAGCCCCAGGGGGAAGGGGCCTCAGAGAACAGCAGAGACAAGGAGCCCCTGGGAACCACTCCAGGAGCTCGGAAGGGGATGTACCAACTCGTCTCTTCCTGCCTGCGCTCGCCCCTCTAGCATGAGAGCTGAGAACAAGGGGCAGGAGAGAATGTGCGCTTAATGTGCGTGACAGTGACTGGTCCTGGGAACACAGAGAAATTAAACTTAAGGGGCACCTGGGTGGCTCAGTTGGTTAAGTGTCTGCCTTCAGCTCAAGTCATGATCTCAGGGTCCTGGGAAGAGCCCTGTGTCCGGCTCCCTGCTCAGCGGGGTGCCTGCTTCTCCCTCTCCTTTGGCTGCTCCCCCTGCTTGTGCTCTCTCACTCACCCTCTCTCTCTTAAATAAATAAAATCTTAAAAAAGAAAAGAAATGAAACTTAAAAATAAATAAATCTATGAAAAGCAAAGCTCCATGGGTGGTGGGTTAAGTAGTGTTCCCCCAAAGATTTGTACCCACCCAGAACCTTGGAATGTGACCTTGAAATAGGGTCTTTGCAGATGTAATGGGTTAAGGATAGAGGTGAGATCCTCCTGGATTCCAGTGAGCCCTAAATCTGACAAAAGTGTCCTTTTGAGGAGCAGAAAGGACACAGAGAGACATGCAGAGAAAGCCACATGAAGACAGAGGGAGGCACAGATGGGAGTCCTGCAGCCACCAGCCAGGTGACGCCTGGGGTGGCTAGAATCTAGGAAGAGGCAGGAAAGGATCATCCCCTAGAGCCTTGGGAGGGAGCATGGCACGGCTGACAGCCCTAGAGCTTTGAGAGAATGCATTTCTGTTGTTTA